ACATTTTTCAAAATCTGTGTTTAAGAGCAAGATGAGGATGTGATTGTTGACAATTGATTCAAGACAGATTATTTTTTCCTTCTACTTCTACGGAATATATGACAGTTACCTGGATAATGATAACTTCAACCAAGCAAAGGGCTTCAACTATCATCAAGGCCCAGTAAGCAATAGTACATTAACCCTACAGCAGTACTTCTTGTATCCATTCAGTAGCATCTGACAACTTTGACCTTTAACTTCTGTTACAGGAATGGTTGTGGCCTGTCGGCTACTTCCTGCGTGCCAAACTTTACTTTGCCAAGGAAATGGGAAAGGAGACGTATGACCAAACTGTTAACCTGGTGAAAAACGTTCTCTCTCGTCACGCTATACACTTGGAGAGGTATTCACATAAATTGTTCAGCATGAAAGGGATGACTAGCAAACATTTATCTGTTTCAACCGTATTTGTGAAATGACCACTAAGCTCTTCAATTTTCTCCTCTAGTTCACCTTGGAAGGGTCTCCCTCAGCTGACTAATGAGAATGGCCAGCACTGCCAGTTCAGCTGTGAGAGCCAAGCCATATCCATGGCTTCCATACTGGAAGTTTTGTATGACCTTTGACCAAGACAGCATAATAAACAGTGACCTTACACACTTAAATATTGCCCCAATGCTCATAGAACTCACAGCATCTTGGTTTCCTAATACAATTAGAATCAGAACCTAAAATTAATAAACTCAATCAGAGTGACTACATTTTAGACGATATCCAACCCTAGCATGATGGCCCTGTAATAAGAATGTCAATTCCGTCTCTGAAGTATTTGGTTTTCCCAAAGCCATTGTATTTTACCATGTAGTACCAGCAATATTATAGATGTTGATATGATGTCATGTACGAGTATGTGTTTTTGGCACTGTATTGATAGCAGATATAAACAGGATACAGGGGGTAATGACGGTTATGACATGAATCAATCATCCCTGGATAGAAAAAACACAGCTGCATGTTCCTTGTTAGTGTACCAATTTTGACAAAAAAGTATACTACAATTATGTTGATGCAACAACCTTGTTGTTCTTGGGTAATCCACGGGATGACACCAAATATGGCAAGCCTCAGAAAATGTTAGCTAGGGATGGATGAAAGCAACAAGCAACCTAAAGTTAAGTGTTGTTCCGCACGAAGCAAGAACTGCTTGCCATAGATTCTCCAAGTAGAATTCTACAGATTTCGACTAGAGGAACTAACTCTAACTAAAACTAAGTTTTCCTTCGTGGAGCAAGCTGTCTACGTTGCTTTATAATCTTCCACAGGTGCTCAATTGGGTTGAGATCTAAAGACTATAAAAGCGATACTATATGAGAGGGTCATAATAATCATCATACCATTCGATGAGCCCTAATTTTCCAAGTGTTTCCTTTGATTTCCTCACCTGTCTGTAAGGTGTATTATTTGGTAACAAAGTAGTTGCTTTCATAACTATTTAAGGTACTTTTAATGCCTAAAATGTGTGTCCCTCACAGAAAGAGAAGGATGAACATGGGCTATGGAACGAAACACAGTATTTAATGTCATGTAATAAATAAACATATTATTATAATTTAAAATACCAAAGCACAGTGACTTATTTGTTCAATTGAATCGGCAATCTGTTAAAGATACATAATTTACCCCAGGGGTAGCCAACACGGTGCCCGCGGGCACTTGGTCGCCCGCAGAGGCAACGTGAGTCGCCCGCGGGGCATGTTCTAAAAATAGCTCGCCAAGCCAATCCAAAATGTATAAAATACACAAAACAAAAAAGGAAATGTAATTAAAAGAATCTACCCTATGCATAAACGAAACCTAAATCATAGCGAACTCTATCTACTTACTACAACTCTATATCTATCTAACACCCCCCCCCCCACCCCCAAAATTAATATCTACCAATCACGTTCTTGCTTGATTTGCGGGACCAGCGTTGCAGTCTGGAAGAAAAGCAATGAGGCACTTCCCCGCTGATTTTCCTTCTGGCAGAATCTACACAACACATCAGCCCCATAGAACAGCCGCCTATACAACACATGGGGGGCAGAGTTTTACTCTGTGTGTTGCAACTTGCATATCTTTATTGCACTTGAAAAACATATTTTTAAAGTGGGGGGACACAAACGGGATTTCGAAAAGTGGGGGGGACATTTCCCCCCTGTCCCAGGTGGAAATTACACCATGCGTGTGTGTAATTTCACCATGCGTGTGTGTAATTTACACCACGCATGGTGTAATTTCCACCTGGGACAGGGGGGAAATGTCCCCCCCACTTTTCGAAATCCCGTTTGTGTCCCCCCACTTCAAAAATATGTTTTTTTTTTTTTTTTAACGCAAGCCGTCGATCGCCACGGAGGAGCTCACAGCCTCTGTGAGCGAGCGAGACAGATACCCCTTTCACACCAACGCAACTCCGGTTCAAGCTCCGTGCTAGAGCTTTTCAGGTTCAGAACCGGTACTTCGGTTTAGCTCCGGCTCTTTTCACACCGCTCAGAGCCCGACTGGTGCTGTCGCTGCTGCGTCATGACGTCACAGTTTACGTCGCTGATTTTCTCCCCAACGGAGCTCACCTCACAACAACAACGGGCCGGGGACTGCGTTGCTTTTAATCATACGAAGCCAGATTAAATTAAATAACGACTTCTCCAACCTTATACTTTTCTCCAGAGTGCCGTGGTTCATTGTTTATTAATGTGTTTCAGCGGCATTTACCGACCGCTGCAGTGCTGCTGCTCTTCCACGAGTGTATTCTCCCGTTAGCTCCGGGTTAGCTCACAGCTCTAAAGTATTCTCTCACACACACACACACACACACACACACACACTTTGTATTGTATTATTGTATGAGAGAGGTTCCAGGTTGAATTGAGGCGAATATTTCGTTAAGAATCTGACTCTTAATGGCAGTTTGTGATTTTGATGCTATTTCAGTGAAACAAGGCGGTTTTGAACATTTGAGAACCTGTGGCGGGTGCTCAAAGTGAATGTCCATGCTCGGAAACCACGCAATTTGGACCAGCTGGAACAATTTGCAATGGAAGAATGGGTCCAAGTAAAGTTTGAAACACATTATCTACCAAATAACCCTTGAAGGCAAACAAAAATAAATCACTGCGCTGCAGATTTTTACAGTTTAATAATTATAAATAAAATAAACAATGAAACTTGACCAACAGAAGAACATTACATTATTGATCTACCCTGAGACCAAGGTCAACCTTTAAAAACAGTTAATTAAATTCCTAAAGGAATTCCTTAAAAATGACAACAATAGCTGAAATATTGTAAATATTATGGCCCGAATCTTTTTTTCTTAACATTTCAAGTGTTTGATTTATAATGCAAAATACATTTTCAGTACTCTGCCTGAATATCAATAACAAACTACAAACCCCTCTGTATAACACTGAGCCTCTGCTCAGTGTTATACACCTTTATGAAGTGCTCCCAAGCGCCCTGCCAGCACTTTTCTTACAGTGAAAAACTGTAGTAGGATCACTATGGACACACGCCCTTAGTGATCCTACACATTGTCCAGCTAATCTGCATGCACTAAATGTAAAAATATAAGGCCAAATCAAAAATAGTTACTTGAGAAAAAATAATATTGAAAGGCTGGCAATAATATTCAATAATAGCTTAAATACTGTGCCATAATTATTTTCGAATACAGTTCTGGAGAGCCCTAATGTAAAACTTTGCTCCACCTGTACAAACCTTGCTCTTGTATAGGAGTTCTTGTCCTCAAGCTCGCTAAAACAGCGCGTCGACGGTTACCAGGGTTTTAAAGAGGCTGGCTGTCACCGACTGAGATTGGCGCGGCTTCACCAACCTAGACTTCACTCATCCTTACTACAGACTTGCAACGGGCAGTATCAGTTTAATCTCATCGCTGCGTCAGACAGAAGAGTGCGGCTCTGGTTTGACTGTGTTATCTACAGGGTGTTGGACATTTTATATGTGTAACAAAAAAGCAGAGACTTGTTTAATATTGGTTTATTGGTTCATTGTTGTTTATGGCTTATTATTGTTACTAATGGTCAAATGAGGTTTTTCATCTGAGATTTCGATGCATAATATAAAGAGAGTTTTATTAGATTAAATAGCAACACCATATCAGTATCTGGGTTAGACTTATAATAGTCTTCACATACAGTGGTTTTTCTTTAAAGTGTCAAATGTCAGTGCACGGAGAACAATCAAACAGTGGTGAATTAAGGGAACAAAGTGAGTTTCTTCAGTCTGAACTGACTAGGTTAAGTGAGCAACTAAAATCCCAAACTGATGATGCTGAAAAGGAAAGATTGGCGATGCTAATTGGTGATATTCATGCCAGCATTGAAATCCAGAAAGTAACAATGGAACCTTCAGTCACTTCCGAGTGTGCCAAACTCAGACAATCGTCAAGAGAGAGAACGTTATCCCCAACAATGCTGGAGTTGAAGCAAAAGGAAGTATCTCAACTAGAGAGCAAATTTAATATGCAATATACACATTCGAAAGATCGAGTTAGAGACACACGCACCAAACAAATGGTGCTTGACCGAGAGCAATATATATGTGTAAGTCCTCAGCCTCCAAAACTACGAATCGTAGTCTTTCATCAGAATCACGTCTGCTTGACGCTAGGACGACCGGCTGCCCTCCCCGACAGGCGCACGGACGCGAGGGCCCGCTCATCACTGCGCGCACTTCTTTGACCGCAGTTTTAATTATTATTGTTTCCTTCCGGATTTGTCAACTGTTATGTAGTTTATTTATGTATCTATCTGTGTTCATTTTGTTACGTATGCTTTGTGAATAATTTCTTAAAATGCAAATAAGTAAATAAATAATGAATAGAGACCATATCCATTTTCTGTACAAGGCAGAATACTTTTTTTTAAATTTCTGCTGTAAAGTTCAGCATTTAAATATTGGGGATCTATGGTTTGTGTCTTTTTTTTTTCAGTCTGTACAATATTTTCATACAATAGAAGCAAAGTAACAAAGTGACCTTTTTATTGAGAATCATTAACAGTTTTAGGGTGCGGTAGAGCGACAGCTCAGCCTTAGTATTTATTAACCACTTCTGAGACAAATCAGAACTGTACCTACAGCAATCCACACACAAACGAGAAACAAAAAAACATGCATGCTTCAGTGTCACCTTCAGCAAAGTTGCCATCATCCATCCTTTGTTAAATTAAATGTACAAATAAATAGCTAGAAAACACAAACATACGAAATAGCTGCTCACAATTCTTTACTCCTCTAAAACTGTTTTTAAATATTTCTAAAATGCTGCTTTCAATACACTTGTTGTACATCAGAGAGCATTATTAGAGTGTTGTTAACCATTCTTCTTCCAGATAAGAAAAACACATGCAGCCCTGAAGTGTCTGGCTAAGTGTGACATCTGTGACATGGAAGAAAAAAATCAAACAAAAGATTCAAGCTGAAGGTTGATGACCTTTCCCTTTTAATACAGTATAAACAGGGCATATGGTGGGAAGGCCAAAAGGAACATAATCACAGCCTTGTCCTCTTGCTTGTCGAGATGCATGGATAAGGCCTTTGAACAATTGAACATTGTCGTAAAGAACATGGTAGACTGTGGACATACTTGAGAAAAAGTCTCAACTATTGCATTGAGTACTACCAAGGCCCCTGCACATATTACAATATACCAGAAGGACCATATAGTTTGAGGGAACCGATCCAATGGACTTGAATAAGAGTACAAGCCTCTCCGATTCAAACAGCAAGACCTGAGATGCTGAAATATGAAACAACACTTTGGCCAAAAGGATGTACATTCCACTCTGACAGCCAGAAACAGTCCATTTGTTTACGTAGTCATTGTCTCTGTTTTTGAAAGCATAGCAGAGAGACTGCTGGAGAGACTGCTAACAGGATTTGTCAGTAATATTGCTGTCCATTTAGAGGGGACCATGAATTGTCTGCCCACAGCAGCTGTCCTCACTTTGGACCAGATTTAACCAGAATGGTTCTGGTTAAGGTCCAGAACTTGGCCTTCCGGGACAATTCAGTTATTTTTGGGTATCCAAACTTGATTAAGTATTGCAGTATGGGTTCAGTCTTTAACTACCGATGAGATCCATCTATTTAAGAAGATCACCAACATCCTGGATATCCCTTTGGTATGCTGTATCTGATTTAGACCAATTAGTCTAAATCAGACTAATTGGTATATATTACTCTTTTCCCACAGTTTCAGTGTGCCAAATCACTTGTATTTCTAAGCAAGACTTTTTACACTTCACACAAGTTTTTGACTGCTTTTGATTCTGATAGTGTGTTAGCTGTGTTTTGGTCTGCATTATCACCTTGCAAGTGCAGTTAAACAGTGTTCTATTTGATTTTACAAGTTCTAGTTATCACTTACCTAAGGCCTCAAAATGGCTGGTTTTTGGCACACGGCAAAATCCAATTTCCATTAATTTTGTATATACCTTTTCCCAGTCTAAGATTATCAGCCAGATTTCTACTGGAACACATATGATCTTATTTGACTCTCCTGATAAAAATATACATATAATTAATCCTTTGGCATCAGAGCAACCATAGTTTTTGTTTATTTGAGGAGCTTTTTAAACCTGCATTATATTTCAAACCACATATTTTAAGGCCATGTTTATAAATTTATCTGAATATCTCCAGTTTTCATTTAGTACATGAAAAATGGCAAACCTGAAGCTTTGTGCACTAATTGTATTATTCGTATAGAAGTTATTTCTGTTTCAATTTAATATTTATCTTTGTCTTTGTTTCTGTCTATATTTCTACTAGGTATTTTTCTAACTTGATTTTTTTTAGAACTTATGTTATAAATTGTATAATTAGAAAAATAACAGTTATTCTGCTGTGGTGTACTAAGTGTTGGGTGCTGTGATAAAGATCCTCATAGCTCAGTGAGAGATTCTAAGATACAGTACCATACCAGTGACATACATCCACTTGACCAAAGACTTTGTTGAGTACAATCCAGGTATCTCGACAACGTGTTCAGCAAGGAAGAGCTGCTTTTTTTTCTTCACATTTTTTGCCCAACCATTGTCACACAGAAAAAAGGATGCAGTGTTGATGTCTTAATGTATTGCTGGCTCACTCCAAGCCAAACGTGCTGGTTTCCTCCACCGCAATCAGCAGTTTCTCATACAACATGGTGTATGAAGGGTATGGAGCCAGGTCCAGACGATTAAAACAGGTGTGAGCCCTGAACAGACAAAGAGATAGACAAGAGTAGTTAGAGAGTTTGAAGATTCATTTCTAACAGAGAATACATGTTTTTATGATTTTTTAAATTTATTTTTTAATTCAATTTAACTTTAACAACATCTAGGAGAATAAAGGACACCAACACAAAAAAGTATCTATCTATGTGGTCTTTCTATGCTAACCCGTTCCTTAAGTATTTTTGCAATACGCACTTGGTTTGTCAAAAGATATAAACAAAGAAAAGATGCTAAGTACACTTACCATTCTGAGACGTCTGCTTTGTTGCCGATTATGGTGAGCAACAGACATCTGAGTCAAACATTTTTGGCTGAATAAGTCTGATATGATTGCCAGTCTTAATATGGCCAACCTTTTATTTCCTGTCCTTTTTCAAAAGGGCAATTGGCCACTGTACATATTAACAAACATCACTCTGACAAGAGGAAATAGTGCATTTGTTGGATACTATTTTCATCTGTGCATTTATACAAAGTTGTTGCTCTAGTGCAGGGGTAGCCAACACGGTGCCCGCGGGCACTTGGTCGCCCGCAGAGGCAACGTGAGTCGCCCGCGGGGCATGTTCTAAAAATAGCTCGCCAAGCAAATCCAAAATGTATAAAATACACAAAACAAAAAAGGAAATGTAATTAAAAGAATCTACCCTATGCATAAACGAAACCTAAATCATAGCGAACTCTATCTACTTACTACAACTCTATATCTATCTAACACCCCCCCCCCCAAAATTAATATCTACCAATCACGTTCTTGCTTGATTTGCGGGATCAGCGTTGCAGTCTGGAAGAAATGTGGCACCTCCCCGCTGATTTTCCTTCTGGCAGAATCTACACAACACATCAGCCCCATTGAACAGCCTATCATGCAGCCTATACAACACATGGGGGGCAGAGTTTTACTCTGTGTGTTGCAACTTGCATATCTTTATTGCACTTGACGCACACACACGCATGGCGTAATTTCCACCTGGGACAGGGGGGAAATGTCCCCCCCACTTTTCGAAATCCCGTTTGTGTCCCCCCACTTTAAAAATATGTTTATTTATTTTTTTAACGCAAGCCGTCGATCGCCACGGAGGAGCTCACAGCCTCTGTGAGCGAGCGAGACAGAGAGAGAGAGAGAGAGAGAAGGAGAGAGAGAGCTAGGGAGGGAGGGAGGGAGAGGGGGAGAGAGAGGGGGAGAGAGAGGGGGAGAGAGAGAGTGAGAGAGCTGGGGGGGAGGGAGGGAGGGAGAGAGAGAGAGCTAGTGAGAGCATACCTTTATCTATTTAATATAGATAAAGTAAGAAATCATTCCAATGTGTACTATAGGACAGTAAAAAAAATCAAAAAACAGTTTGAAAGGGGAGTGATTAGTAAAATAAGCATACATAAAAAGAAAAAATGCTAACTAGGTAACATAAGATAAGAATAAACCAGTTTAAATGATTTGTTATTGGTTGTGATCATATTCTAAAGATGTTTGGATTATTGAAAAGTATACAGCTCTCTTTCATCTGAGTGTTGAGAGCTGTATCCATCAATTCATGTTGTGCTCAAAGTGCTCCAGATTGATGCATTTCACTTCAACATTAAAAAATAATCTTCCTGGGGGTGCATGCCCCCCGACCCCCCTAGAGGAGGTGAGGACCCCCCTGGAGGAGGTGAGGCCCGTCCACCCCCAAATAAAGCAGGTTAAAATAATTAGATTGCATACATGTTCTTTTAGTAAACACTGCAAACGGGTCCCACAGACCCAAACAGCAAACAAAGGTTAAAGGTCAGCATATCATAATGTTAAAATGTGCTAAATATATACACCGCAAAAAAAGAAAAGTAAAAGTAGCCCCCGACTTGTTTTATTTTTTTAAAGTAGCCCTCACCCTAAAAAAGGTTGGTGACCCCTGCTCTAGTGAGTATGACTGGAAGATCGACCGTGTTAAAAATAAACTACAGTGCATGTGCTCCTGGTAATAAGGTAATATCTTAAGGATTGCTTGGATCAGATACACACACTAAATCAGTGGTTCTCAAACTTTTTCTGTCATTCCCCACTTTGAACAAGTGGGCCTTTTCAAGCCCCACTTGATCCTCATCGCTCCAATAAAATGGTAGGCCAAGCTTAGAATTGTCAAATGTATCGTTCTATAACGATCTCCAACCCTTTTTTCATTTTTAGGATGAGAGCTACTTTCAAAAAATATAACAAGTCGTGAGCTACTTTTACTCCTCTTTTTTTGCAGTGTATATATTTAGCACATTTTAACATTATTATGTGCACCTTTAACCTTTGTGTGCTGTTTGGGTCTGTGGGACCCGTTTTCAGTGTTTACTAAAAGAAAATGTATTCAATTTAATTATTTTAACCTGCTTTATTGGGGGGTGGACCTCACATCCTCTAGGGGCATGCACCCCGGAAGATATTTTTTTAAATGTTGAAGTTAAATGCATCAATCTGGTGTACTTTGAGCACAAAATGAATTTATGGATACAGCTCTCAACACTCATATGAAAGGGAGCTGTATACTTTTCAATAATCCAAATATCTTTAGAATATGATCACAACCAATAACAAATCATTTATTCTTATCTTATAAGTTAGCATTCTTTCTTTTTATTTATGCATATTTGACTAATCACTCCCCTTTTAAACTGTCTTTTGTTTTTTTACTGTCCTATAGTACACATTGGAATGATTTCTTACTTAATTTTTTACAACTAGGCTATATTAAAGGTGTGCTCTCTCTAGCTCTCTCGCTCTCTGTCTCGCTCGCTCACAGAGGCTGTGACGGCTTGCGTTAAAAAAATAAAATAAACATAGGCCTATTTGTAATCGCGACCCACATATCACAGCGCCCCACACTTTGAGAAACGCTGCACTAAATAGAGCAGATAATTTGTACTAGTTTTCATCAAGGATAAAGCGGGTCTTTACCTCTAACGAACCAAGTAATGAGAGCTGTGTAAATGTAGGTTTATAGTAAACAGATTTAGATACCTGGGTAGTGATGTGACTTTGCCCCACTTCTCAATACAAAAGCGTCGAAGGCCGTTGGATCCCCGCAGCGCAGCAAAGCCTTCGTAAGGCACACTGGACGTCCCAGTGACAAACTGCAGCAGGCGGAGACGCTGCTCATTGTTGAACCGCTCCACAGCAGCCCAGAACCACCGCATCACTATGTGACCATCATGGTAACCTAGAGATTAGAACAATTAATATGTGACACACACACACACACACACACACACACACACACACACACACACACACACACACACACACACACACACACACACACACACACACACACACACACACACACACACACACACACACACACACACACACACACACACACACACACACACACACACACACACACACACACACACACACACACCACACACACACACACACACACACACACACACACACACACACACACACACACACACACACACACACACACACACACACCTCCTCTGTACTCTGTGTTGCCCCTCCAGTCAATGAGGTCAATCTCGACTGTACCAGCAATAACCAGTTCCAGCTCCCGTGCATCAAACACAGACACTAGCCTTGAGTCTACCACCTAGGATGGAGAAAAAAAAAACAAGAATTGTTTTTTAGTTGCCTTCGTTTATCATGTGTTCAAATCTATGGCAATTTTGATCAATATTTGGAGATTTTGACATAGTAATACCATGTTGGACGATGTATTACGACTGAAACATCACAAATAACAGTGATATTTACAGTTGGCTATTTGACATAATTAGTGTATTTATAAATTAGAAAAAAAGGGATTCACAACTAGTTTGAACCTTCTAACAATGTTGTCAAAAACTTAATTTTGTTATGAATCATCTGATAATGTATTTTTTACCTCGTAGAAGCCTCTGACCAGTGCCTCTGTCTGCTGCACCACTCCTCTCTCCACCCTCCACTTGGCCATTCGCTCTAAATAATCTTTTTTGTTCTTCTCAGTCACCTGGAGGTTTGAGCCGCCCGACTTTAGCTCCCGCTCTGTCACCTGGCAACACAAGATGTGCTGGGCATAGTTAACAGTGGAAGTCATCCGAGCAGAACGTTTGCCATTACACGTGTGCATGAGGTATAGATGTACATTTGTATCTGGTGCTGTAATATACCTTGACAAACATAACCACACACACACACACACACACACACACACACACACACACACACACACACACACACACACACACACACACACACACACACACACACACACACACACACACACACACACACACACACACACACACACACACACACACACACACACACACACACACACACACACACACACACACACACACACACACACACACACACACACACACACACACACACACACACACACACACACACACTTACCTGGCCAAATACCTCCTCATTGACGGTGAAGGTGAGGTCCAGGATGTCAGTGATGTCGTTTTCCTTCATCCACTGCAGAGACTGGTGGAACTCCTCGTCCAGATACTCCAGATCGGACAGGTCTGTCGGCCTGAATGACAGACAGGGCTTACACTTACAACCCACAGTACAGTAACAGTTCATGAAGATTTTCCCCAACAGTAAAAAACTATGACACATTTTAAATAAAGATAAAGATATCCTGAATGTTCCAACCCTAGTCTAATGTGTCATTTATAACTGCTTTAAGCTTTCAGTTTAAATTGGTAATTTTCCTAAAATCCTGAAAGTTAATGTTGTAAAATGCAAACTGTATACTTAGTTTTCTAAACAGCCCACAGTCTAGAACTCCAGCTTGTCATTTTTAGCACATGTAGAACAGATCAGTGTTCAGATGTTTCTTCCGTATATTCGCTTCAGGACATTTTTCATGACTTTTCAACGTATGTCCATAGACTTGTTTCCTTTTTTTTTATCAAAGAAACAGGTATTTACTTATAGATTTTCAACATTTGTCACTGTTTTACTGTTCAAATTGTAGAGTTTCATGCCAATGTAAGTCTTCAAGTGATAGTCGTCATTATTGTGCATGCAGAAAATAAACATTCTCGATCTTCCGGAATCAAAGATTTCATAAAAATATATTCTCCCACTTCACAAAACTATACTAAGATTGTCTCTAAAGAAAAACAATATATTGTTTGTATACTGACAGTCTGAGCAGGGCTTTATAGAAGGGTCTGGTGAAGAAAGCATCCAGTAGGTACTGATGAATTAGAGCCAGGCCAAGGATACGACCACTGAAACGAAACCTGGACACAGGCACGAAGCAGGCACACACATTACACAGCAAACACTAAAATCAGTAAAATGAAAGAGTAAAATGTTTCTGACCTCATACCAAATACAGTATCATACTATAATGACGGAGTTAAGGAAAATGTCATAGTTAAATAGCCCTGTTCTAGGTGAAACCTGCACTAGTTCTCCAAATTCACTTACTTTCTTTGGAATGTCAATCTTTATAACAAAGTCATGCTGGTCATAAAACGAGGGGTTACGTATGGTAACCCTTGTTATATAAACACAGGCGGAGCTCTCTACTGGACTCTATGGGTACTCCCCTCGATCCTGTCATGCAAGCATTCATCCACTGAGACTTTCTAGACGTAGCCGGCCCCTGGGCGGTTCTACCTGAATGCGCGCGCATCTCACTGGATAAAAGGAGGCCTCGCCTCCTTACTGTCATCCTTTACTTCTCTTCAGCAAGCAGCATAGGACAGACAGGGCCCCTGAGTAGAGGGCTCCGCCTGTTCTTATATAACAAGGGTTACCATACGTAACCCCTCGTTATATCTCACACGTGCTGTCGTCCCACAACAACACTGTTCCATCTCACTGTTTCTGACCGGCTTTCTGGTTAGCAGCCGCTGTGCCTCACTCACCTCTCCCTCGGTCGTAACCGTGGAGATAGGGCTGCCGTGTCGTGACGATAATCGCGATATGCGCATGCGCGATATTCACATCGCGTGGACGTGCGATTTTTTTGTAGGCAAATTAACTCAAACACGTCATGTTACAATTATTTTGCTGCTTGCTACAAAAGGAAAACTTGCACGGCTCTCATGTCAGGGGCACTTGAGTGAGTGACATGCAGGCTCTGCATGCACAGCAAACCACAAACAATCAAATCTCCAAAGCAAACGGACCCGGTGATTAAAGGTAAAATCACTGAATAAAGTAGTTTCATGTGTTTCTCCAGGGCAGTTCGGCGCTGCTAACCGAGCTAGCTCAGCTTGTTGCTCTGATAACTTAAGATCCAGACGTCCGTGACTAAAATCCTTCATCCGGTTAAATATAGTTAAAAAAATACCAATTGTATAGGATTAAAGTTCAAGAAAGGATGGTTTGCGAAAAAAAAAAACGGTCTTTTCTTCAATTTCTGTATGTTTTCATATCGCAATATATATTGCAGGGGGGGAAAAAATCGCAATGTCAGTTTTTTCCAATATCGTGCAGCCCTACGTGGAGAGAAAAGAGGCTGCGGCTGACAGAGACGCTTACCCCGCAGAGGTGTGCTATGACGTGGAGGACTCCCCCCTCCTGGGCAGGAGAAAGAGTCCTCCAGCCCCTATGGGCCCATGTGCGCGTCACGTCCAAAAAACGTAAGCGCATTATGTCCGGGGAGGGGGTCAGATGCCCACTGACCCACAGCCCGCCTCCCTCCATCATAACATTTATGGCAATAAACCTAGTTTTCATATAGAGTGTAACGTAGCTTTTGGTTTGGGCAAACTGTGTGCGCATCACTCTCAATTCTCAATGGTAATATTTAGATGGATTTGGCTTCTATTGGCTCTAACGGTTCAAAAGAGGTGTCAATCACCAAAATCGACCAATGGGTTCCAGAGATATGGCAAATACACCCAAATGACCCCAGAGGTAGGTTTTATTTTCTAAACCTCTCTAAAAAGGTCAAATTGCACTTGTTTTGCATCAATCTTGATACAGGGTACTTATTATATGTTATAGTTTGGATTCCTAAAGGTTTTTGTCTACTATCCCATCATTCAAGGGTGGTTTTCACTATAAGTAATGGACGGAAACTATCATTTACATTTTTTTACTATGTTCAATCTGAATTTACTTTAAAATAAAAACATCTATATTGATTCTGACTTTTCTAAATCCAACTCACAGGTGTATCATTGCTTTGAGAAAAAAGATTATTAATTTACCCCTTTTAGAAGTGAAGATATAGTCATTTGTTCTGGGAATGTCATTTTCGAGCCTGAGACCTGAAAAACAGGCTCAGGGTAAATTAATAATCTTTTTTCTCAAAGCAATGATAAACCTGTGAGTTGGATGTAGAAAAGTCAGAATCAATATAGATTTTTTTTATTTTAAAGTAAATTCAGATTGAACAAAATGTAAATTATAGTGTCAATATTGAAAATGCTATTCATTTAGATTAGTAAATCACATGGCATTTTTCCCCATGTCGAGACCTCCATTGTTCAACGGTGTAAAAATGTTCTTTCCCACGTTGAGCCACTGATACAATTAGAATGGCTATCTGAGACATCCTATGCACAGCAGCGACTTTTCATTGCCTGCTTTAACAACTTTGATGCAACTGGTTCAAACCTAGTTGATGGTTCTACTGCCTCATAATGCAGTTTCAATCCAATTGCTAGAGATGGGACTGAGACAGCCACAAGGATGCAGAAAGGCTAGGAGAATACCAAGGCTGCGACTGTAGTTCTTGCTTGACTACTTCCTAACAGATACTCACAGGCAACAAGTTCCCTAACCTGCATGTTCGAAAGTGCTTACAAAGGATGCAGACCACCTGTGCAAGGCTGGGTTGAATTGAAGGAACAGGAGGAGCACCTGCATTGATGCACCTCCATATTAATCTCAAACAGAGAGGAGGGCACTTCATTCCTGCTGGCTTGCCATTTCTAACACTGTTTTTTTTACAGTGAGATAGCGGTGGTGGGAACTGGCAGTAGTTGGGAAGTGCTTAAACCTCCATCCTTGTTGTTACTAGCCCCATGGCAATACAGGTAAGTGTGATACTTCACCCAGAAGACACATTAACCTTTTTTTCTGCTTTTCACTATTTAATAGTGATAATCACTTTCCGACTAAGTGATGCGCCTGCCTGCCTGTATGTGTCCTGCCTTACATTTTTTACTAATTTGATTTGTGGGATAAAGAAAAAAGACATCTGAATATGTTACAAAACTACAAGCAATACACCTCTGGAGCAATCCAAAATCCAACCAATTTCATCTGTGGACAACACGGACTTCTATACTATACTATAACACTGCACTTTGCATTTTGTTCACTATCTTTCAAGATCACAGTGTCACACAGTGCCCTGACTCAGGTGGTGATCAAATAATCACTGACAGGGCTTGTTCCTTTCTATAACCATAAAATCAGTTGAAATAAATCAAAGGAGCCCGCTCAGAAGGCTTTGGGGCAGCATGGGAGGTACCAAGCCTTTGTTGAACCCTAGGCTAAATGTTTACCTTTCTTTTTCCCTATTAATTTGTATTTGTTTTAAAAGGGTAATAAAGTAATGTGCAAGATACGTATTCACTGTACAAATGGAATATGAAACGGACTAGGGAGCTGGTCAAAGACTGTTGTATTAACAGTCTTTACAATAAAAAAAAATGTTATGGACTGATTGAATAGCCAAAAAAAGTGTGATCTCACAGATAGTCATTTTCAGGGAAAAACTTGAATCAACCAGTAGTGTAAATGTTATTTCTTAAATAGAAAACAGCTATAAAGAAAAGTGAAATTGTACAATTATAGTAAAGAAAACTGTACCAACTGACAAATTGGAGTTGGGTTAAAGTATATTTAACAAAACACTGATTCACCCCGTGTCTCTGTATGTTTGTTTGTTTGTTTGTTCCTATTGCACAGCTTACCATTCCAGATGGTTTTCAACAAATGCTGACATGGGGCTGATTTGAACGGTGTAAGTATCGTTAGCTGAGTATTCAAACAGACCGTAGTATGGATTAAACAACTCCTGAGACAATAGGAAGAAAAACTCTCTGGACGGACCACTGTAGTCCAATCTGAAAAGAGAACAAGAGACAAAAAACATCTTTACATACTTAACTGTTAATATGATCGAACATTTTTTTTATTTCCCCTGTAACATATATTTAATACAAATCTGGTTCAATTATCGTCATCAAAGAAAAAAGACAAAATACAGTTGAATAATTTTTTGGACAAATAAACTGATTATACAAAGTTTAAAGATGTGAGATATGTTTTCCAATATTCACTTTGGCCATTAATTTGCAAAGTTCTCCAACATGTTCACTAGGTAGACTATATTGGGGCATTTCCACCATGGCGCGGAGCGCGGTTTAAGCGTGCCGTGTCGTGCCGGGCCCGTTTTTGGTTGCGCTTCCACTAGGCCTAGTTCCGGCCCGGGGGTACTTTTTCACCTCTTTTCTGGCCCGACAAAATCGTGGTTCTATCGGGGCCAACAAACAGGGCTGAGTCGGGCTGAGTATGCTAAACTAGAGAGAGAATCGCTGGCAAGGAGGCTACAACTACAACAAGATGAACATATTTGACCGTGATTTAATTGTAATACACGTTTCAAAATGATGCCGAAGTAACAACATACTGATACCGGTTAGTAAAAACCATGAATTAATGCTTTGGCAAGTTTGCAGACAGACGGCAGGTGAAAAACCTTTTAAAATGCGTGTTTTCTAGATGGAGATTGGCTAAGCTAACTCAATATATGCTCCGACCGTCCACACTCACAACAACGGCCTATACAGACATAAATAAAGCAGCGACTGTATTCGCCATGACACAGGCAGTCTGTGGTGTGTACTTGTTTAACTTTTGTCTAGTTTCTGAACATATATAAGGAGCTGTGAGCTCTGAGTGCTAACAGCTAACGGCTGTGTTGTTTTTCTGGGGTTCTCATTGAAGATAACATCACGGCTCCGCCTACACTGCGTTACTATAGTAACTACCCCAGTTCCTAAACTGTAATGGAAGCGCAGCATGAAGTGAGCCGGCCCTAACAAGGCCCAACGCGGCCTAGCAGTACCGAGCGAGGCCGAGGCCGACCGTGTGGTGGAAATGCGCCATAACTTTGTGTTCTGTTGAGTGCTGGGCTTGCAGTGTAAAGTGAGTTGACTTGAAAAAAAATGCCCAGCTGCTTCTGGAAATGAGGTTGATGAGAGTGGAATTGGCTGCTGTTTTGGCAATAAAACCAAAAGAATAAACCCTTTGTGAGAAAAACAATTATGGGGTCCAGTGTTAATATATACAATTTTAAAAGTGCAGCTTTAAAGATATTTTAAACAGTACTAAAAACCAACATGTTGGCAATATAAATCACAAAGCTCTGTGCTTCAAAAGCTTAAAAGAACAGCCTACAGCACATTAGCTGTGTTATTTCATTGGTCAATTATGTGTTGTTTGTGTTGCTCACCCCTCCTCTCCGAGGAAAGTAACGTAGAGTTTGTTTCTCTGCAGCTCTTTGCGGGAGTATGCCATCACCTGGTTAAAGGTTCCCTCCAGCAAGTGTTCTCTCCTGATCAGCAACCTACAACAAGCAGGAAAGCTTACAGATAACTGGTACTTTTACATTTGAAAATCTGAATTTGGAGTTTTTTTTTTGCTTATTTACTTAACTGTTCAGTTTCTGTACATTTTATTTCCCTAACTGTAGGTCTAAAATTAGTTTCAAACTGTCTTATACAAGGGTACGAATACAATTCTGGTTGTGCTATTGGTGGGGAATTAGTTAATTACTATATTAAAATGTAAATGTATTTATCAATGTATTCCTGAAACAGTGGTTGCTGTTTAAATATCCTTAAATATGTAGTTAGACTATATATTAAATATCATAGTTAGGATGATTCAGATCAATTTACATATATTTGGGACCCTACTATAATAATAGTGTGAGCTGTGTCTGAACTGTAACTGTGACAATCTTATTGCATAATATAATATAACGGCTTTGGACCTTTCACTTTATTTTAAGGTGCATTTAATTTATTCATAATGTGAAATTTGAGTCTTACTTGATTTTGCCTGGTCCCTGCCCGTAGCCCTTGGCCTCTAATTTCCTGTAAAAGTTTCTTAGTTTGGCCTCAAAGTCTCTGCGGTAAGGAGCTGGAGCCCTGGCCCTCTGCAGGCCTATAAACACACAACTGGAGTTAATATAAAACACTGGAAACATTTTTTTGTAAACAATGTGAAGTTCTGAGACTGAAATTGAGAGGTAGAGAGGTTCACAGCGCCTTTACAAAATGTGTCAGAAGCTTAATGAGCTATATTTTGTAGAGTCAACAAAGTGACCTATGGGAGATCTTTTTACGGTGAGAATGACTGATGTGGAACTACTGAATTGATACATCTATACATTTGTATCATTCAGCAACAAAAATGTAACTTGTGCTAAAATATTCACTCTTCTAATCTAAAACAAATCAATGCAGGGTAACACACTGGTTGTGAAAATATGAACAATAATAATGAGTTGATCCCACTCTCTGTGACACCATTTCTTAATTCCTCCCATGAATGACATAAATAATCACTCACCATCACACACACACACACACACACACACACACACACACACACACACACACACACACACACACACACACACACACACACACACACACACACACACACACACACACACACACACACACCACACACACACACACACACACACACACACACACACACACACACACACACACACACACACACACACACACACACACACACACACACACACACACACACACACACACACACACACACACACACACTAGATTGAACAGTTGATGGGGAAAATACTGAGTTGATTCTGAGCAGAATTTGTCTACCATATGTTATTTTTACTTTTCGTGAATAACAGGATGTTCTTAACACTGTGAATTGAAAACTCTGCAGCCTTGACCATCTAGTTGCTCTTTCGGAAGAGGAAGCGGGGGGGGAAGAAAGTTTAATCCACAACAAAATTATTAAATTGCATCCTGCAGCACTGTAGCAATAATCCTAATCCTAATTGTTTACAGTGTGTGACATATAGAAACATTTCATAATTTACATTACTGTCTGCAGCTGTTTGTTTGTAAATACATTTTTATGAGACACTGAAATTGAATGCTTTTTAAGACTAGTGCAATCCCGTTTTAATTAATCAAAATGTATAAAAATCATTCAAAACAAATATAAAATCTGTTATGATCTGTCCAAATCCAATACATTTTAATAGTAAGCACAATATGTCAAGTCCTATACCAGGCATGTCCAAAGTCTGATCCGATTTAATATGGCCTGCACTTTGGTCTTATTATGTATTATGTATGGCCCGCTAGCTTTGACGTACAGTGTTTACGGGGAATTGACAAGTGTTACGGCGGAAATTTAAGCCGATGGTATTTGCGTTTGCCTTTTCTGTTAAAGATGCTGTATTTTAATTTTGGTATTTCCTGGTTTCTCTTGTTTTTGGTGGATCTGCGGTAAAACCCGGAACTGTTTTTCTTTAGTTGCCTTTGTTTTGTTTGTCTGTCTGTCTGGAGGTAGGGGTGGGAGGGACTGGTCTTAGGGGTTTTCTGTTTCTGTCTTATCATGTTATTGTGTTTTCTTTTATATAGCACCTGCATTTGTTTCTCCTGTTATTGTGTTATGTGTGGGAAAAACCAATAAATAAAAACGATGTCAGAAGGGACTATTGGCCCCCGGCCGTTCTGTGATTCTCCAGAACACGCAGATGGCCAGTCCGCCCTTACCCTGTATTCCACCAGGTCACAGCGGCGCAGACGGACCCGGTGGAATACAGGGTCTACCACGTTTAGGAACCGTTACGGCCTGTCCACACAGCGGCGTGCTTGCCGGCGGGGGGGGCTGAAACTCGACCAACAACCAATCACATGAATCTCCCGCCCCGGACACACAAGCACGCGGTTTGATTGGCTAGAGCTTGTACTGGCATATGATTCGTTTGGCTGACGCTTCCGCCGAAGCTTCAAAAGTTGAACATTGCTCAACTTTCGTCGCGAGCAAATCTACGCTTCGCTCCCACAATGCAGTTCGGCGAAACGTGACGTCACCCCATTCAAAGTGAATGGGCAGAAGCGTTGAAGCTTCAACGCACGCCGCCGTGTGGACGGGCCGTTAAGCAGAACCGAAATTGTGTATTTTGTATGGGTACCCGGTACCCGGCATTTTCTTATCGGTTCTCATCTGGAACCGAGTTTCGGTTCTCAACCCTAGCCCCCGGGCATATTATCACACATTATCACATTATCAAATCTGGCCCTCTTTGAAGAAAGTTTGGACACCCCTGCCCTATACTCTAGCGACTTCTCCTAAAATGTCAACCTGCCTTATTGCTATTGGCTATTAATGTTCTCTTTCTTAATGCAAAATGGAGTTACAGATGTAGCACTCCAGCCAACAGATTCCTGCCAAAAACCCAACGTATCCCAGCGGCTGGGAATGTTAAGCCCTATTTTTTATGCTCATACTTTTACCTTTGCAATAGTTTGCTTTAATATGCAGTATATTTTTTGTAATATTTTTTTTGGTGTTTGCTGCCTCCTGCTCCCTTTCGGACACATACTGTATGATTTATTATTATTATTAATATGAAGATATTATTAAGATAAGATAAGATAATATGTTACTTTATTGATTGAACATTTTTGTTTAGAGTTCTCTGCTGTCCCACGATAATTGAGAAGGCTCACATTCTGACCATTTTTTAAAACAATAGGCGCTTTCACACCGTCTCCAGTTTGATTTGTATAGAGGGAGCTGTGGCTGAATGGCCGGCGATTAGGTGTGGCGCATTTATCATTAGGTGATCAGAGCTGCCTGCCTGCCGTCAGATTTCATTTAAAAAACAGGTCTGATTTTAAGATCCTAAAATAAATACAAATATATATTTTTTCTAATATTGTTGTGGTCACGTGACTTTGTTTAAAATCCAAGGGTGTAACTTTGGTTTGAGAAGTGGGGGGGGGGGGACACGAAACAGGGGGTCCTCCACAATTAAACATTTTTCCGATTTAATTCAATTTCCTGCCTTTCTACAAATATATTAGGGACTATGGTGTTAAAAAATCCAAGAAAAATGTGTAGTGTATAGCCTTCCGAGTCCTTTTTAAACAAACAAACAGTGACCATACCGTTCACCAGCCCCCACCCACCTCTGAGTGACAAGCTGTGAAGTCAACAGATTGTCTGAGGTTGTAGGATTTCTGCCATGTCTCCACTTTAGTTTGACCAACTGTGTTAATAAGTTATGGAATACTAAATAAATAAGTAATTAGATACCTTACCATTACTGCGCTCATAAAGAATGATAAGAATAAGAATAATGCATATTGAACTGGTTTAATTAATTAGTGAGTTTATTTAAGGTAATTAGGTAGAAGCCCTTTTTTATCAGTAACGAATACAATTAAAATATAATTATCATATTATATATTATAATGCATTGTATATGTATTATTATATTAAGTAATATCAATGGAGAGCTGTGGCTGATGGGCCATTAGGTGTGTAAGCACACAGCTGCCTGAGAGCTGCCGTTTCATTCAGACTGTTTAAAAAAAAAACAACGGTCTGATTTTAACATTGTACAACGAATTGCACAATGAACTCAATGTGTGATTGTTATAGCAGTAATATTAAACACTAATAATACAGTAAACTATTAACACTGTACATATTATTGTTTGCCCGTGGGGAGATGACGAGGCTCCATTAAAATATAAACCTATTTTTAGTGAATTACTGAGTTTAGGCACGTTAACAACGTTTTAATGAAGTTGACATATTTGTCAGTGCTTTCATGTCAATTCGGCGAACATAAACATAAATGATCGTGGTGAAGATGATTAAATTAGGATTAAAAATCGAGAGCTGATCGTGAGGATGATGATTAAAAATCGTTTGTATGAGCCGGTCTGCATTTCCTTACGAAAAAACATAGCGATGGTTTTGTACTTACGCCAACGTGGATTAAACAACATTATTTTGTGAAATAAAAACATGGTGATGTTTTGTAAATGATTACATGTCTCTTATTTAGCACAGAGTATGATCCTATCCGTGACATATGGATCTTAACAAAGATCTGCTATAATACCAGACATAAATCTACTGTATCAGAGTTTATTTCACATGAGCTCCAGTGTGGAACCCCACTGCACCCCCTGGTGGATCAATTATCCATTGCAGCTGGCTTCATTATAATTTAATGTATTTATCAAGGGGGCGGTCTCAAGTCATGCTGGAGGTTTTCCTTTCAGCGAGGGCATACCCCGTGCCGGCCACGGCCCCGGCGTTTCAAGCTGTCCAAAATGAGGTGCTACATCTGTAACTAGTTCGTCTTTTGTACCAAAAAGAGCCCTAGTCGTTGATGGCAGACATCAGCTTGTGTCAGTAATGATATTAAAGGTCCATGGTCCCGCCCCGCTATGATTGGACATGGTAGTTGTATCTTCCTGCCTATCTCAGCAAAACACATGATAGCGCCTTGATTTAGTATTAGCAGAGGCCTGTACTACGAAGCCGGATTTTCGCTTAGCGAGCTAACTTCAGGGAAAACTCTGGGTTTCCGGTCCCATTATCATTAATATCACATCATATCACATCATAATGTATCATATATTTCCTTATCTGAGTCAGCTTATTGAGCCGTATCTGGCTACACATTAAGTTGACGAAACACTCGAGTCAAATGTAATTAAAGTCAGATCCACTCGTGTCTTAGACGGGGGGGGCAGTGATATCATAAACCTGTTAATGTACGCATTCAAACACTTTTTTTTTTACCTGCTGTATTCACCTTGCAGGTGCATCTATGTTGCTTTTATCCTGGATAAAGTGTTTAAGTCATGGATATTTAAAGTTTAACTTCTTTATATTTGTCTAATATTATAGTTCACTTTTCATTCAGGAAGTAAGACGCTGCGCTGTCAGTACGCTTGTCCATGTTTGTGATTGGTCAAATGTTGCTAACCCCGCCCCTTTCATGTGAACGCGCACTCAGCCGGACAGAGAAACCCTGGCTTGAGTTAACGAGTTGATAACCAGCGTCGTAGGACAGCTTAGCGAGAGCGCGTTTGTTTTGGATTAGGTTAACCGGGTAACTCAAACATATCCAGGTTATGTTGAACCGGCTTCGTAGTACAGGCCTCAGGTCTCTGCTGCCCTCTGTTGATAAACATTGAAATGTCATATTTGTTTCACTTTGTTGTGATTTGATTTGTATAAGAAATACACTTAACAATGTAGAACATTGATTGAATGAATTTGATTTTACCTTAAATAAGGCATTTTTATGTCAAAGCATGATCATATTATCAAGTTTCCATTCACATTTATACACAAAACCTGTAAAAAAAAAACTGTTATGTTGCTACGTTATGTGATATATTATAACATTATGTTAATCATCAATTCATGTTTTTTTATTTGATGATTTGATGACTTATTGACAAGAGGGACAATATTTAAAGAAAATCATTTAGTAACTTTGTGCTTGACACTTGTAGCTGCTATGTTTGACGACCTACCAGGAGAGTTTTGTGGTGAGGAGGCAGGTGAACAGCGAGGAGAAATGCTGAAGCCGTGGTGGATGGGATGAGGCGGAACATAAGACATGATCTCCTCTTCAAATAAACTACAAGAAAAACACACAAAACAGAGAGTATTTCCGAATTCAGTCATTTACAGTCAAATTCAATAAAATAGATGTTGTTACCAAACATGGATACTAGTTTCAGTGTGTGTATTACCTTAACAGGATGACTAGGTCTGCATCGCATGACAATTTCTCCACCCCCTGAGTACCTTCTGTCCGAAGGTAGTGAATTTTCTCTCTGAACAGTCAGCAAGACAAATCATTTATTATATATAGTATTTACATTAAGGCAGGTTCCTATCAATAATTATCACAGCTTGATATAATGTAGATTGAAAAAAAACCTCTTCTGTTATATCTCTCACAGGCTCCGCCCTCTACTGGACTCTATGGGTACTACCTTATCATGCAAGCGTTCACCTACTGAGATTTCTATAGACGTAGCCGGCCCCGGGGCAGGCCTACCTGAATGCGTGCACAAGCCCACCGTATATAAGGCGGCCACGCCTCCCATTCCCGTCAGCGAGCGAGCAACAACTGAAGCAGAGAAAGTAAGACGTTTGAAGAAGAAAGAGTTATCATACCTCCATGGAGTCGCCACTTCTAGAGACCCGGGCCTGTCCTTTGTGCCCTGGCTTAAATGGCGGGCGCCGATCTCCACCACCTCTGCTTCGAGTGTTTGGGGGACCAGGATATGGCCGAGGCGGTGCCATTCACGTTCGCCATTCCAGCGGGGCGAATGGCTCCGTTTGCCGTTGTCGGGCACTTCCGGGTCATTATTTGGCAATGCCGAATTAGTAGCTTGGTCCGCCGCCGCTGCCTGCCGTGTGATGGGGTGGGGGGTCACGCCGCATGGCACTTTCCAAAAGGACTGTGTTGATCTCCTGGGAGCCCCCGTGTTTACGGAAGGGCTCTTTGGATCGATCTCCTTGGTCACGTGGGTGAGGAGTAGTCGCAGCGTGGCTGCTTCTTGCTCATCCCCAGAGGAAAGAACACTGTCCCACACTCCCCGCCCCCGCTGTAAACTCCAGTATAGGAGCCAGCAGGTGGGCGCGCTCACGTGAGTGGAATAAACCGAAGTGCTGTCAAAGCACTGTGCGGTATAATAGCTCCGATTAATGCGTTTTCACCGTGGGTGAAATACAGCGTTAACACGAGGGCGCATCGCCCCCCGTGAGAGTGGCCGCGGGGCTTTCAGGGACCTCCGCAGAAGAACGGTGGGTTACGTATTGTAACTCTAGTTCTAGAGTGTGTGAAAAATGCATTCAGTAAAAACGATGGCATTTATCCCAGAGTAAGAGTCATCTATCTCCACAATTCCACATTTCCCCATAATGTCCGTATGGAGCCAATCTTCCTGTTATGGAAGGTTTGGCGGCGGAGTGGGCCACCACAGAGTACAACAGTTTCATAACTGCGGCTCCACAGCTGATTGCACATCCCCTAACGCAGTGTTATGGGGAATGGAAGCGCAGCTGTGTATTAACGGAGTCGATGGACAGGACGCTGAGACTGGGTTATTCACTCCAGTTTTGCAGCATCCCTCCTCCGTTCACAGGCATAAGAGAGGCAAATCTATCATCCCGAGACAGGCAGTGTCTGCTATGCGCGTCTTCGCAGCCTGAATCTCCACATTGGTGCAGCCGGGCGATTGGTTCACAACCATCGACCTGAGGGACGCTTACTTTCATGTCGAGATTGCTCCGAAACACAGAAAGTATTTGCATTTTGCCTTCCAGGGTGTAGCCTACGAGTACAACAGATATACCGTCCAGCTATTCCCTGTCCCCACGCACGTTCAGCAAATGTGTGGCCACAGCGCTCCAACCGCTGCGCGCCCGTGGCATGAGAGTTTTCTTTTATCTGGACGACCTCATAGTCATGGCCAGGTCCAGGGAACGGGCAATGTTTTACACAGCCCAATTGATCCTACACCTAACCAAGTTGGGCTTTACGATCAATTGGAAGAAGAGCACCCCATACCTTACCAACAGGCGTTATATTTGGGAGTGGTGCACGATGCAGGCAGGCTACGCGCCACCCTGTCAGAGAGCAGACAGGCATCCTTGCTTCAGGCAGTTTGCGGACTGCGACAGGGGGCAACAGTGACAGCTTTGACTATCATGCAGACTCTGGGTCTCATGGCGGCTGCTCACGTTGTGGTCCCGCTCGGGTTACTGCATATGCGCCACCTGCAGAGGTGGTTCTCCAGCCTGCGTTTGGATCCCAAGAGGCACAAACGGCGTTTGGTGCCCTCAGTGGAGGGCAACCTCCGGTTCTGGGGGTCCCCGGATCACCTCCGGAGGGGGTCTCCACTAGGGCTGAACGATCAGTGGCGACTGGTCATTAGGGGCAGGCACAGCCCCACCTAGTGTCAGCAGAAAGTATTACAAATAATGATTACAAAAAATGCAAAAAAAAAAAATATATATATAAAATATATTTTAAGATCATGTTTAATCATCTGATTCGTCTGTACATTGCTGTTTTAGTCTGTGTTCTTCTAATTAGTGTCTACAGTGTGTGCCTATTAGGTCTAGGGGAACCTAGGCGCAGCACAATGTTGCACTCTCCCCATTTTTCCCACTCCCAAGCACATGGACGCCAAGGCAGAGAAAGCGTTTGGTAATTTTAATTACCCAAAATTATACACACACAAGAGTAACAAAACCACAAAACAAACAAACCTTTTAACACAAAAATCTTACCTAACGAATGAGACAAAAATAAACGTACAGGCTTCTTACCTACTCTAACATTAAACAGGAGAAAACGAATTAACCAAAGAAAAGGGTTTTGCACTCCTGAGTAAAGATAAAGTGTGCCTGCAAAGACAGGTAAAGTAGCTTACTTTCTCAAGTCTCACAGCAAGAAGAGAAGGACAAGGTATACGGTCAAAGTGCGAACACAGCACAACAGAACAGATATAAATGCGCAACAGTGTTGGGAGTAGGAGAAGTCGAGTCAGAGAGAGCGGCCGAGGAACTGCACGGCTGCAGCTTAATATGCTCCCGTCTCCTCAGGTGGACCAATCAGCATGCAGAAGGTAGCTAATCAGCCAACGGGCACCACCTGCTTGCGCACACACACACACACACACACACACACACACACACACACACACACACACACACACACACACACACACACACACACACACACACACACACACACACACACACACACACACACACACACACACACACACACACACACACACACACACACACACACACACACACACACACACACACACACACACAGTGGGTGTTTCTCAATCGCGAGTAAAGCTGCCGCAGAGCCACTATTTCAAGCATACTACGTCATCGAGTGCCGCCGAAGTACTGTTCCAATCTCCAGCATGAGCTGCCATCCCCACCATACGTCATCTCACATAATTCAGAGCTGATTGGCTGTAAGTACGTGTGCCGCGAAAAGTGTGGTGTGTGAAGAGGAGACGAGAGAGGTGCAGTGACGCGTCCTAAAACCCGGAAGTAAGCTGCGCATGGCTTCCCTCGACAAAAAAGCAATGAGATCTCTCCATAGGATTTTAGAAAATAGCTCGAAATAAGATCTGTGGGAAACGTACCTGTTAGATAAATGCACGTTTTGTTCAGCCGGATAATATCCACATGTCTACCCTACTTTTATAATTTTTTAATCATAAATCTATCGATTAGATTTATGATAGACTTTTGAAACTACAAGAAGATAAGGAGGGCTTTTACAAAAAAGTAATAGAGATTTTTGTCCAGAAGGATAGGCAAATGGACTTCATCTTCAAGTCAAGGTAAGACTGCAATTTTATTGAAAATGGGATCTTACTAAGAGAGAACAATTCAATATTTAAATGATAAAATTACATTTTTTGGGTATCCTTTTGTTGAACTGTCTGTTTAAAATTAATCGAAGCATCAGACAAAAAAAGCTTTTGGTTTAGGTCAAAATATAATATTTGTAAACCTGAAGAGTCAGTGCCAGTGCCTCACCAGCCATGAACCTCACTGCACGTCACTGCAGAAGCTTATATATAGACATCTAAGTTTTTTGTGCCCCACCACTTTTGTACATATAAAAACGCCACTGTGAACGATTAATCGTTGAAATTATGCGATTATCAAATCGCAAAGCTTGCTTTTTTAAAAACTTTTTTTTTTTCTTCTTGTATGTCAGTCATCCACACTAATCAGAAGTGCTGTGCTCCACATGTACCAGCCATTGTTAACCAATCAGAAGTGGCCCATGATAGAAGGTGATAGACAGATTGATCCAATCATCTGCCAAGTATTTTTGAAAGTGCCTGCCCTTTCCAAATGGCTTCCAATGGAGCTTTCCTAGATGGTTTGGTGAAACAAACCATCTGAGTCAGGTTAGATGTTTTACATCTATTACAGGGTGAATCTTTAACTGAAGCTTGACTTTAAAGCAACCCAACGGAAGTTTAATGTAAATGTAGTTCTTTCACTCGTAGCTCGGGCGGGAGCACGTTGATACGACCTTCCTAGCTGGAGATATGGCCGCATTTTACAATAAACAAAACAAATATCGCATATCGAATTGCAATCGAAATATCCGCCAGAAAAATCGCAATTAGATTATTTTCCCAAATCATGCAGCCCTAGTCTCCACTGGGACGGGTGACCTCCTACATCACAGTGTTCACGGAGAACAGGATGGGGAGGGGGCTGCCTAAAGAGAGCTATAGGTGGGTGCTGGTCTTAACAGAAACACGGCACAGCAACCTCCTAGAGCTACGGGCAGTAGTGTTGGTCCTCCAGCATTTCAAACCCTTAAATCGGGGGAGACATGTAATGGTCAGGAGCGACAACAGCACCAAAATGGCATATATCAACAGGCAGGGCGGAGTCCGCTCCACCGCTTTGTTGACCACAGCGGAGAAACTGTGGTTATGGGCTTCAGAGGTGGTGTTAACTCTGGGAGCCCTCCACATTCCGGGTCTGGAGAACAGGGGGGCCGACCTCATGTCGAGGGGCGGCCCCCTGCCAGGCGAGTGGGCGCTTCACCCGGAGGTGGTGAAGCAGATCTGGGCCCGGTTCGGGACAGCAGAGGTGGATCTGTTCGCCAGCCGGCGCAACAGCCACTGTGCCCTGTGGTTCTCCATGGCTTTGAGCGACGACCCGCCCTTGGGGGGGGACGCGTCTGCACACGAGCTATGGCCAAGAAAGCTGCTCTACGTCTCATTCTCCCTCTCCTGGGGAGAGTGAGGCGGGAACGTCTGTCAATCATCCTAGTAGCGCCGGATCGCGTCAGGGCTCCGTGGTACTCAGAGATGACACAGATGAAGATGGGCCAGCCCATGGCACTTCCCCAGTTCTGGGGGGCGATGTCTCAAGAGGCAGTTGCAATCGGGGCGTTACCCACTCTGGGCCGACCTCTCCAGGCTTGGCTCCTGAGAGGGACAGGCTAAGACAGGGTGGATTGTCTGATAGTGTTATTCAGTCTATCCAGGCAGCTAGAGCGGGATCCACCACAGCTTGTTACAGGCCGAAGTGGCTGGGATTCCTGCGATGGTGTGAGGAGCAGAAAATAGAGCCCCCATCTTGTGAGTTGGGATCTATTTTGTCGTACTTACAGTTATTGGTGGACAGAGGGCTTGCTCATTCCACAGTGAAAGTGTATGCAGCAGCCATCTCGTCATGCCATGAGAGATTTGACGGCAGGTCAGCCTTTTCTCAGCCACTGATGTTGCGGTTTTTACGGGGTGTCAGGAGGCTGCGCCCAGTAGTGCACGCCTCCACCCTACCACCTGCCGCTGGTGCTCGAGGCTCTGGTCTCAGAACCATTTGAGCCTCTGGAGCTCTCCTCCCTGAAAGCACTGTTGTGGAAGACAGCATTGCTACGTCAGCCAAGAGAGTGTCCGAGTTAACCGCTCTATCGGTACACCCGAGTTGCTCGGTGATCCGGGGTGACCAGAGCGGGGCGACACTCAGACCGAACCCCTCCTTTGTGCCCAAGAGCCTAACCCCTAGATTCCACCGGGTCCGTCTGCGCCGCATTACGGCTGCACCGCGGTTTTGGTCCGGCCTCCTCCGGCGTCATACCCTACCAGGCGCGTTTCAGAAGCATTTCAGAAGCGGAGTGTCTTGCCTGCCGGCTCGCAGTTTTTGTTGATTTGGGCATATTTCCTGGACAGGCTACTTTGTACAGACAAAGTTAATAATAACTGTAATATTCCAGTTATAAACGACATGAATCAAAGATGTGTTGCTGTATTTTAGTGGTAAAAAAATGCATTCATCATCATAATTATTCTATATATATAATTTACACAGTGCCTGTAAACCGGAGGAGAACGCTGGCATTTATCCTCCTACTTGAAAGACTACGGAGGGATAGGGTCTGCAAAATTAGTTTGTGTGTGTGTATATATATATATATATATATATATATATGCTATATATGCTCTGAACGTTCTACTTCCTGCCTGCCCGACATTACGTTACGGCTGCGCCGCGACAAAAATAGGATTCGATCCTAATTTTAGAGGAGCCCTGCGCCGAGCCGCTTCTGGGACGCTTCTGAGCCGTAACGCGCCGCGTGTGGTGGAATAGCACCCATTGACTAGAGTGGCCGCGATCGCCGTGAGCACCGCGGCGCAGCCATAACGCGCCGCAGACGGACCCGGTGGAATCTAGGGGTAAGGAGTTGAGTGATCAGGTCGAGGGCTATTCAGTTGGGGGGCTTTAATCTTCCACCCCATAGTGGGGCGAGGGAGGCTAAATTGCACCTCCTCTGCCCGGTGCGTGCGCTCGCGTGTTATGTGGAGCAGCTGCCCTTAGACGCACTGAACAGCTGTTTGTGTGCTTCGGAGGCGGGGTGCAAGAAAGAAGCCCTGTCCAAGAAACGCCTGGCAGGCTGGCTCTGCGAGTGCATTGCACATGCTTACGGACAGGCGGGGAGAGCAGTGAAGCTGCTTAGTGGCCAAAGGGAACTTCGAAACAAATAGTTAAGTCTCCAGGGGCAAAAATATATTTTTGCATGAAACATGCATTGTGTAGCACGAATCCTTGCTATATACACACGACAACAGTGATGATAACAAATAAAAGTAAAGAACTAGCATTAGTACCTCATTATTTCTGATTTAATAATTTTAGAAAGAAGCATACCTCAGAGCATGGTTTCTGCTTAGGCTTGACTGTCGCTCTTGCAACATATCAAATATGTTTGGCTGTCGAAGGAATGCCACAATTTTGTCATTGTACGCTAGAGAAAAGATAGAGAAAGACAAATAGAGAATAAGCAGTTAAAAGACAAAAAAAGATTTATGGTGTTGCAGTATAAACACCCATACTGTTATATTGAAACTTGCCGAAGTGACAGACACAGTCCAACATATGTTGGGCTAGAAAACACACGCAGCCAGTTGGCCAATATTGTCACTGCTTGTAAATGAAAAAATAAATAAATAATAATTTCATTAAAAACGGTCCAGATGGTACGTTTTTTGTTTGGGCTGATACCAAAGTCCAGGTATTAGTATCGGCATTGAGAAAGTCGAATCGGTGCATACCTACTTAAAACAATGAATTGCATCAGGTTGATTGTGGCTTAATTAATGATATTAGGCTTTGACAGTGCTTACAAGGAGCAGTCAATTGTTGTGAGTTGTTGTGCTGGTTTCGTATGGCGGCTACCAGGCTGTTTCCAGGCCTGGCCATTAGGGAAGCCCCACGACTCCTGGACACATCAGAGGCCTGGCAACAAACAGCACAAACTTCACATAAACATTTTTTCACATCCTTCATTATCATATTTATAGGTTATTTTCTGTAGATTTATTTGTTCAACAAATCCCATGAGCATCCAAGCAACAAAATATGGACCATAATAAAAAGTATTGTGTGTATCTAAAGCCTGATATCTTTCATTCCTTTGTGCCATAAATCGCCTTCGTTGTCCAAAAGCGTATAGGACACCAGTCATGCTACAGTACATTTTCAGGAAGGGAAATATTTGTGGATTCAATGACGACAATGAGTCACTTTGAATTGATGGTACAGGTAGGTGTGTGTACCTCCCCAGCGCTATAGCTGCGCAATCTCTGCAGATGTTGTCTGTGAGCAAGGTGGCCAGGCAGCCGGCCATTCTGCAGAGGGATGCGCGGGTCAATGAACGTCGTGGCACGACTGTTGTGGTCCACAAAAAAAGACTAAGGAACAGAGAAAAAAAAAAACTACAGTATATTTTGTCAAATATTTATTTGAAATGATCTTCCACAGAATGAATACATTATGAATCAAATTTTATTTAAAAAAAAAGCTCTTTGAATATTAAAATAAGTACATTTTATGCAAAAACATTGACATGCCTTTAAACTACATATCTACTGTCAATCTGACCTCAGAATTAATACAACATTAATATTCTATTAACATGATCATGATCATCATCTATATGGCTTGATCATTTACATAATATTATTGAGTTTGTATAGAATATTTCATAAAAATGTCATTGGTCTTGTCCTGTAACACTGCTTTTGGCACTGCATTAGTTGTAATCTCTGTCTGCTAGTTGTGTAAAATTCTTCATTTAACTCTATGGTCACAATTCTATGCCCACCGTCATTTTACATTCGTAACTTACCTTGCCCTGGGGGTCAGTCTTGATCTCCCAGCCTCTTGGTAGCTCCAGCTGAGTGTCTGCAAACTTGTTGAGGAAAACCACAAGGTCCCGGTTATGCTGGTAGCGCTCAAAGTTTCTGGCGTCGCGGCGCACCTTCAGAATCATGTGTTTCACACAACTGCTGTTGGTGAACACCCGGTAGGCTGCCTGTCAAGAGAACATCAACACGTTTAACGTTGATATTTATAAAATGAAATCACTGATAGTGGGGAAAATACTTTTTGGGTAGTGTTGGCAATGTAATCATGAGTAAAGATCCAGCCACATATCAATAGCCTTCCCACTTCATACTGGCGAGATGAGAATTAGATTTGGACTCGTAACGCCACTATTGTGCAATGTTTGGAAACTAATTGCAATGGTATATCTATCCACCAGGTGAAGCAGTGGTTTGGAAATATGAAAGAGAGTCAAGGTAAGAAAAATGGAATGAAGGAAGAAAAGGAGGATAGAGACAATGAAGGTCACTGACTTTCCTTTTATCCTTTCCAATTCCCTACTTTGTTTTTTACATTCCTCCTTCCTTTACTTCATTCCTGCTCTGTAGTTGGAGTACAACTGGACATTCTGGAGGAGGTAGCGGAGGGGATGACACAGAGGAAGCTGGACTGTATACTGGAGAACCCCTCCCACCCCCTCCATGCAGAGCTAGTGAAGGTGAGGAGCACGTTCAGCCACAGACTCATCCCTCCTCGGCACAGTCCTATGCGCCTCGGACAGTCCTTTGTGCCTGTAGCCATCAGGCTGCACAATCAAGGGCTAAACCCTGTAACCCGTTAATAGTAACCAGGACTGTACATACATAAAACCTGCACTGTTTTTACAAGACTTTAACCTGCACAAAAAAAAGATATATGTCCATTCAAATGACAAACGTTTTACCGTGATATCTAGTTTCAACAGTTACTATATCACTTTATTATACATTTTTGTATTATTGTTTACATTTTTAAATCTATTTTATCTTTATTTTTTACCTTGTGTGAATCCTGTTTTCACTCTGACCCTGTTGCTGCTATAAACGCCTGAATTTCCCCACGGGGATTAATAAAGTTCCATCTTATTTTATCCTATCTTCCTCCCTTATTTCATACTTCCTTATTTCTTCGGTCGAGGAGAGGGATTGTTTTCAGGATAAATTAATTCAATTCACAAGACGGAGACACAAACATGTGCATTTTATACTTATATAAAAAGATAATGTCAAAGATAATCCACCATCTGTATTTTCTCTAGAGGAAAATATTTTTTTCTGTTTCCACTATTAACATTCCTATTGATGCAAATATATTTAGTTTTGACGCTTTGATATTTAAGATTTCAAAGTTGACCACCTAATAGAGTGGTGCAGTGGCGCGTCCTAAAACCCGGAAGTAAGCTGCGCATGGGTTCCCTCGACAAAAAAGCAATGGGATTTCTCCATAGGATTTTGGAAAATAGCTTGAAATAAGGTCTGTGGAAAACGAACCTGTTAGATAAATGCACGTTTTGTTCAGCCGGATAATATCCAGATGTCTCCCCTACTTTTATAATTTTCGAATCATAAATCTAATCGATAGATTTATGATTAGAAAATTAGAAAAGTAGATTATTATAGTATTATAGTAAAATTACTTATATATAATTATATAGTAAAATTACTCATTCCAGTTTAACGTGTTTTGTATCGAAGTGAAAGGTTCGAAAAAAGATTACATTTATCTGTAGGGTACAGACACTAATAATAACAATAAAGACCTTTTACTTAAAATCAAGTATTTTAAGTGGCTGCTGGCTGCAGTATACCAATTAAGTGACAATTTTTACTCAATTGAGTGACATTAAAATAATGGTTAATGTCCTCATTAGTCACTTCAAAACAATAAAATAAAGTAAAATAGCATCCAGGTCAGCAAATATAATTTACAACTTTATCCTAAAATGTTGTATTTATAAATAATTAAAGTTTAGGGAGATATACTGTATTTATGTATGTCATTCTAAATATAATAAACTATATCTGATATGAAGCTCTGAAAGAAATTAAGAGAGCACTCTGTGTCTGTTGAATTCCAACACAGAGAAATGTTGTCAGTAGTTTATAGATTAAAATAAAAAAATTATAATTTTACTCAAACACATACCTATAAATTGGTGGTCTCTTAATTATTTCCAGAGCTGTATCTACATAGCCATTATTTTGTGTGTGTGAAGGACTAACATAGTTACTGTGCAACACAGTGAAGAATTCTGGGTGTGTGATGAACTTGACAGCAGGCGATTGGAGGAGATGACTGATCTTCTGGTGATTGACAGGGGAAGCGGGACCTGCAGACAAACAAGGTGAATTACTTTCTCTGTTTTAACCTGTTAAGCCCTGAGCCTGTTTTTCAGGTCTCAGGCTCGAAAATGACATTCCCAGAACAAATGACCATATCTTCCCTTCTAAAAGGGTTAAATTAATAATCATTTTTCTCAAAGTAATGATAAACCTGTGAGTTGGATGTAGAAAAGTCAGAATCAATATAGATGTTTTTTATTTTAAAGAAAATTCAGATTTTACATAGTAAAAAACTGTAAATTATAGTGTCCGTCCAAAAATTATTTTTTACTTATAGTGAAAACCACCCTTGGATGATGGTTTGTAGACTAAAAGCTTTAGGAATCCAAAGTACAACATATAATAAGTACCCTGTATCAAGATTGATGCAAAACAAGTGACATTTGACCTTTTTAGAGAGATTTAGCAAAAAGAAACCACTTCTGGGGTCATTTGGGTGGATTTTCCATATCTCTGGCCCCCCTTGCTCGATTTTGATGGTTGACACCTCTTTCTGACCGTTAGAGCCAATAGAATCGAAGGGGGAGTCCCCCACACACACACGTTGTGAAGAGAAAAGGTGGGGGCTTCGCGCATGTAATTTTCCATCAGAGTGAACCTATCTCTAGCTTTGACATCTGGAAACGGAAAAGCAGTTTTAATGCTTATGGATTATCAGAAATCATTTCAAAGGGACACAGACACATTAGATTAACCGATGGATTAACTTCAGCAGCGTTTTTATCGTTTTAATGCCATTGAAGACCACTTTGGAGAGACTACAGAGCCAAGGTAAAAATGTTAGCATTTTTAGCTACCTAGCGTCACCTGTTTTGATGTCCGTTTTTGCTTATAACGTCGCAAATACGTATAATTCAGTGGTAATGTCGGTGTCAATCGATTCTGTGTCACCTCACGATGTGAAACGATGTGTTGGATGTGGTGAAAAGATAAATAATAAGGTTTTGTGAGTGATATTCGGTGCAGTAAGGTGTTAGCATTTTTCGCTCGTTGCTAATTCAGAGGCTCAGTGTTAGCATTGTGAGTTTTCTTTTGAAAAAAAAAAAAAAATGATCAGTTAGATGAGTTTCTTCCCGTTACATGGATATAAAACATTCATAGTTTTATTAAATGAACATGCCCTCAGACACTGTTTCCTGCAAGATGTTGCGGCAGTGCCCCGGTACCGGGGTCTCTCGGGCTTAACAGGTTAAGCACTAAAGTAGGTTTTTAAAGAGGCTTTATATGAACTATTAATAAATATAATATTTGACATTTAAAATATGATAAACCATTGTAAATGACATTGAAACCAAGAAGCCAGTTATTATGTCATATTATGCCGTGAAAACATACACTATATAGACAAAAGTATTGGGCCACCTACACATTCCACCTACAGGAGCTTTTATGACATCCAATTCCAAATTCTTAGGCATTAATATGAAGTTGGTCCCCACTTTGCAGCTATAACAGCTGTTCTGGGAAGGCTTTCTACAAGATTTTGGAGTGTGTCTGTGGGAATGTTTGCCCATTCATCCAGAAGAGCATTTGTGAGGTCAGACACTGATGTTGGACGAGAGGTCCTGGCTCGCAATTTCCGTTCTAGTTTATCCCAAAGGTGTTCAATGGGGTTGAGGTCAGGGCTCTGTGTGGGCCAGTCAAGTTCTTCCACACCAAACTCATCCAACCATGCCTTTATGGAACTTGCTTTGTGCACTGGGGCACAGTCATACTGGAACAGAAAAGGGCCTTCCCCAAACTGTTTCCAGAAAGTTGGAAGCATAGAATTGTCCAAAATGACTTGGTAAGATGAAGCATTAAGAATCCCCTTCACTGGAATTAAGGGGCCTAGGCCGATCCTAGAAAAACAACCCCATAGCATTATCCCTCCTCCACCAAACTTTAAAGTTGGCACAATGCAGTCAGGCTGGTAGCGTTCTCCTGGGTTGCGGTCCAATTGTCAGTTTAGCTTAGGAACCTTCCTAACGGAGTGAAATGACCCGGAAATACCTCAGTGGCCGCCATAATAAGAGCTGTTGAATTCTCTAGATCAGTGGTTCTCACCACCACTGGTGGTACGCCAGCTCCCGCTAGTGGTACTAGCGAGGAATCTGACAAAACAAATATATTTTTTTAAATATATATATATTTTTTTACATTTTATTTAACCAGATGAAAACATTGAGACAAAATCTCATTTACAATGTTGACCTGGCCAAGAAGGCAGCAACGTTACACGTTCTTACACATAACACAGACATGTAAAATACAGAAAACACAACTAAGTAAACAAAAAGATGAAAAGCAGTCACTACATTGAGCACATTTGGGACAGTAAGGTACACTACTTATCACTGCAAGAGCAGCTGGTGGTAAGGACCTCAGACAACTTCAATTTAAAACAGGCTATAGGGACAAGTGCCATCAGTTTGAGGCTTGATTGAATAACATTAATTAAAAAATAAATCATACTATCAAAATACTACAATGAATGAAAATAAGATTGAGATAATTGAAACTGTGGTTTAAATAAGTTCTCATAGGCTATTGTTGTTTCTAGATTTAGAAACGAAAACATTTTTTATATTTATTTCTGGCGTTGCTAATGACGACCATACTACCCGCGAACGATTAGCGAATGTTGCAAGCAAGCTAAAGAAAGAAGAAAGCTGAATGATGTTGTGATAGAGGTACAGAGGAGAATATTACCAGCGAAAGTGAATGAGGAGGAAGACAGTCATCAACCGAGCACAAGCGCAGGCTCCGCCAGCAACGCAAAAGTGAAATAAGATGGAGGAGAGAAGTGACTCAGGAAGAAGGCATTTGCACAAAGAATGGAGAGAAGGCTGTGACCGAGGTCAAAAGCTGAAAAAGCACACACTTGTCTTAATTGTTATATTTCTTTTTTACTTTGCCACCACAGAAATGGCAATAGCAAACATCAGCAGACTGAAGATGAGCTATTAGCCCTTAGGCTCATCTGCTCCTGGAGGCGTCATTATTATTGTGGAACTGAATTCCCAAGAGGACATTTTCTGTTACAATGTAGGTGGTTGCAGGAGGCCTACATTCAAACTTTGGTATAGGTCCAGGAAATGACATGTGTGTACAGTTGTAATTTGTTGTGTGAGAATAAGTTATTATTTTGTTCTTTATATTCTCACTTGTCATGTGTGTGTGAGTGATGAGTGAGAGAGTGATGAGTGAGAGAGAGAGAGAGAGAGAGAGAGAGAGAGAGAGTGAGAGAGTGAGTGAGAGAGAGAGAGAGTGAGAGAGAGAGAGAGTGAGAGAGTGAGTGAGAGAGAGAGAGATACTGCCCTTTGTACATGGAGCACAATAAATAAATAATGTTATTATGAATACATTTGCCTCCGAGTCCTGCATGAACTGTGCATAGACTGTATTTTAACATTGGTCATATGGTGGTACTTGAAGAGCCAACTATTTTCTCAGGTGGTACTTGGTGTAAAAAGGTTGAGAACCACTGCTCTAGATGATAGGAAAGGAGGTTTGAAACTTCCTTTATAAGCTCCTTTAGCTTAAGAAATGCTGGACCTTCCTATACGAAAGGAAAAGAGAAAATGCTGTCCCACAATACCTTGCGGCCGCAACATTTACCGTGACACAACATTCGGCCGTTATCGGAAACAACCGATTATGACGAGAAATTATATCATGAAAGATACGGTGCGTATTAAGCATTTTAAAATGTATGTGGTAACTTGCCAAAGTGCTTTGTTTTAAACGTTCATCACTATTATAAACATTAGTTTTTACTGAAATGATCAAATAAAGTAAAAATGTCACAGTGTTTACTGAGCTGGTTGGTATTTATTTTAAGATCTTTTCATACAATCATACGTATTGGGATCATTTGTATTAATGTGGATCGGAGGGTGAGGGTGACAAGCATAAGTTTCACTTTACTTTTTTATGTCAATTCCAACCTCGGTCATGAAGAATATGTTTCACTGTTGTCCACGTTCATAAAGCATAAAACAACACCATAAGAGCATAATCAGATTACAGTTACTAACATTGCGCGAAAAAGTTACTAGATTCTCCCTTTGACAGTAGTTACTACATTATTCAAAAGTTTACAGTAACTTTGGATAATAACACGGGATAAACGGAGCCTCTCTTTTTCTCTCTTCCTCTCCTGACAGCCAGTCTGTATCAGTCTCATGCTGATCCAGTGAATGAGTGACCCGACACGACAGTAAATAATAAACATATTTATAACTAGTTTAGCTAGTTCCAGGGGTAGATAAGCTAAATGTGATAGGTTTAACTTTTAACAATTTAAAATATTTCTAGTCACTAGAGGGATTTCCGCCGCAGGTTTATATTTGCGTAACATTTGTGCGACTTGTCCACATGCAACTGTCACAGGGGTTGTGCTGCAGTGCAGAGACATGGCGGAGTCATCAACAGCTATAACTTTCGAGGGGTGGCGGAGTCATCAACAGCTAATGTTGATGACATTATTCCATTATTTAGAATTTGTCAGAAGAAAGGACAGGAATGTGACGGAAAGGTGCAAACTGTGTCCAGGTGCCTCATTTATAACGCCTTGCGTAGGATTGACGTGAGAAGGTTGCTTACGTAGTACAAAGCAAAAAAATAGGTACAGAAATGTTCCGACATTTTCCGATTCACAAAACATTGCGTACCGGCGAGGGAAGTGCGTACCGGCACTTCCTACGCCTGTTTCCCTTTATAAATCACAATCGACTCGAAATGCGGCGCAGCTTTTGCAGGCTTCACGTAACGCCCATATTTGCCTATAAATAGTCAAAGAAACGCCCATTCATTTTGACTGACTGCATGAAGAAGATCGCAGGAAATTATGACCGAACAGCTAAAAAAGACATCTCACACCGTGTCAGATTTTGGTTATTTTGGGGAGGTCGAGATAAATCATATTGTTTGGTGGATGCAGTTTGAACCAGAGTAGCAGCATGGAGGTCGGATTGTCACCAAAATAAATAAATAAGTGGTCCGA